AAGAATGTATGTTCTGATTTTGTGGGGTGGAACACTCTATAGACATCTATTAAGTCCATTTATTCAAAAGTTTCACACACACACAAACATTCAAAAAGCAAATATGGGCTGAGGGTTTAGCTCAGTGGTTCCACTGCCTGCCTGGCAAGCACAAGGGCCTGAGTTCCATCCCAGTTACCAAAAACCAATCAAACAAAAAAGTCAAAAGCTTGGTTCAGTTCTAGTATTTTGTTGTTGATTTTTTTGTCTAGATGACCTATTTGTTACAGTGGGGTATAAAGGTCCCCCACTATAATTGTATTGGTGCTTATTTGTTTTTTCACATCCCTTACTATTTGTTCTGTATAGTTGTGGGCATTAATATTGGTGCATATATATTTATGATTTGTAATTTCTTCCTCTTGGATTGTTCTCTTAGAAGCAGTAGTGACCTTCTTTGTCTCTCTTAATTAGTTTTGGTTTGAAATTTACTTTTTCTGAGAATAAGATAGCTACCCCTGCTTTTTTGCTGGGCTCCTATCACATGGAGAAATGTTTCCATCCTTTTACTTTCAGTCTATGAGTTTCTTTTTGAACTAGGTTTCTTGTGTACAAAATATTGTTGAATTTTGCCTCTTAATTCATTCTGCCAGTATGTTTCTTTTGATTGGTGAATTGAGTCCATTGACATTGAGGGTCATAACTGATATGTATTGACTTATCATTGTCATGTTATTGTCCTGTTGTTGGCTCTTTTTAATTTTTGACCTCTCCCTTTTGTTTCTTGCCTTGCCTAATTGATTTGCTCTGCTGGGCCTCATGGTGTTTTGACCTTCATTGTCTTTTTCTAGGATATTGTTTAGAATTGTTTAGAGTGCTGGCTTAGTATTCATGAAGTTTCTCAGGTGGTCTTTGTCATGGAAGTATCTTATTTCCCCATCCATTTTAAAAGAGAGTTTTGCAGGATACATCAGTCCAGGTTGGAGGTTGTTTTCTTTTAGGGCTTGAAATACCTCACTCTAGGCTCTCCTTGATCTGAAGGTTTCTGTTGAAAAGTCTGCTGTGATTCTGATGGGCTTTCCTTTGCATATGATTTTTCTTTTCTCTAACTGCTTGCCATATTTTGTTCTTCTGTTGGGTTTTTGGGATCTTGACTATTATATGTTTAGGTGTAGAATTTTTTTGGACCATGGCTAGTTCATGTCCTATATGCCTCACTTACCTGTATGTCAAATTCTTCCCCTCTGGGAAGTTTTCTGTCATTTTTTGAACATTTTTCATGTCATTTGTACACTCTCCTGCTACTTCATGGATTCATATCCATCTTATATTATTCTTCTTTGCATCATCTAGTAGTTGTTGGACCAATTTCTTGTGACCCCTTACTGATTTTAAGAGATCTTTTTGTTGTCACTGACTACTATCCTATCATCCATACCTGAAATTCTATCTTCACATTCATTCATTTTGCCATGAATGCTTTCTATAGAGTGTTTAATCTCCTGGATATCTGTTTGAATCTGTTTAATGGATTCCATCTCTTTCCTATGCTGGACATTCATGACTTCTATCATGGCCCAGAACACATCTTTCTTTTTTCTTTTTTTCTTTTTTTTTTTTTTTGGACTGGGGATAGATAGATAGATAGATAGATAGATAGATAGATAGATAGATATTGTCTGTGTTCTAGAGCCTCTAATTATGTCTTTCATTGTGCTATCTGTAGTTATCTGGGAAATTATTTCTGTTTTGAATTTTTCTAGAGCCTGACTGAACTGTTTTGTTAATTCCTGTGCTATGAGTTCAGGGTGTCCTGGTGGTTGATTGTCAGACTTTTCCACCTCGTTTCCCCTAGAATTTGCTGTTGGTGAAGCTGGAAATCTGTATTTGTGCTTTGCTTACATGTTTTCTCTTTTTTTGTTGTTGTTGTTAGTACTGTCCTTGGCTTAATTCCTGGGTTAGTACTTTGATCTTTCTAATGTAGCTGCTCTTTAGGTTTTGAGTCTCTAATGACTCAGAGACACTCTCATTTTCATAATATCAGGGAGGACAACTGATTATGTTGTGAAAGGAACTGGGAAGTGACATGCACATAGAGATGAGTTGAATGGAAGTAAAATAATAAAAAGGTTATTTTTTCAGTAAAGGTTGATTGCATTCAAAAAGGCAGTGCCAGTGATCGACCTCCTATTGGGTTGCAGCTTTCTTTTTTATAGGTTTTACAGCTATGATCTCTCATTCAGATGGTTACATTTCATTTTCTCAGTTCACATCACCCATCTACAAATTACAGTAACAAGACAGTTCACTTTAAGCCAGACATAACAGTTCCTTGTAGTTAGGGAGTTTACCCTGAGATTCATCTAGCTATCTATTCTAGTACACAGGAAGGAGTTGTTCAAGGTTAGGGATGGGGCCAGATGTCCCACTTCATGGTCAATGCCTCCAGTATCTGTTAATTTTGAACTAAACAAAGCAGATTCCTGTAAGAGACAGCAGAAGTCATTTTACATTTTCCTAACATTTTGTAGGTTTTTAGATTATTTAGGAAAGTTCTCTGTATCAATTAAATAAATCACAACCCTTTAGCCCAATTGTTACAATCAGCAACACAATAGCATCAAACACAGCTTAGAAATTGACCTGTTGTGGTAATTTTATTTTTGTTTTCTTTTTTGAGACAGGGTCTCACTATGTAGTTGAGAATGACCTGGAACTCACTATATAGCCCAGGCTGGTCTCAAACTCACAGCAATTCTCCTGCCTCAGCCTCCCAAGTGCTGGGATTGCAGGTGTGTGCCACCACACCTGGATTGTGGTAGTTATTAATCTATCACCTTTAACCATGTGAATTAAATCAAAATCAAGGACCAGCCCAAAATATGTTTATAGTGTATAAACTCCAATATAGCAACTTTACCCTTCAGGATGGGGACTTAGAAGGAGTTTGGAGGAGAGGAATAGATAGGTAGAGGATAGGAGATGGTTTCAAGTGAAGCTAGAGGACACAGGATGATCACGCCAACTCTAGGAAACTGTTGAAGTCAAGAGGGAAAGACAGAGGGCAAGAACAAAGACAAGAATAGAACAACTTAACAGTATAAAGAAGCTATAACTTGTACTCACTTTCCTTTGAAACTAATGACAGTTGAGAGAAGAAAGAAAAGAAGAAAAGGAAAAGAAAGAAGAAATCCCAATTAGGGCAGGAACAGGAACAAAAAGAGAGATGAAGAACAATGTGGGGGAACAAGAGATTGAGTAGGAAAAAGAAGAAAGAATAAAGGAAGAATTTGAAGAGGGGGAAAAATAAAAATTTAAATTTTTAATTTAAAAATTAAAAATAAGGGGAAAAGAAAAAAAAATTGAAGAGCCTCCTTCAGGGCATATCTCTGCTGTCACAATAGACAATGTGGACAGCAGCATGAAGAACTAAGTCAATTAGTCTCAGCTAGCCAATGGCAGACCCCTGAGATTCAGGCTGAATTCTGGCTGCAAGGCCCAGGTTGAGCTCCGAGTCTACTCTGAAGAAGACCTGGGGTGCTGGAGGGTGGGGAAGCAGCCTAGCTCCCTGCTATTGGCTCCAGAGTAACCATTTTAGAGGGATAATCATTATCTGAAAATGCAGACTTCTGTAAAACTATAGGTCAAAAGGTTAAAAATGAACTTTAGTCTATGGTGGCTTTCCTCGCAATAGCATGCCCTATATTCTCCAGGGTGTTTTCTTGCTTTTTCCTCTTTTACATGGCCCAAGCTCACATGTTTCTGGCTGTCTGTGCTTTTTACTTTATCTACAAAAAGTAGGGCGGGTGCTCTAAGTATGACAGGTGTAGGGATATCTGGAATAAGTTTATGACAGGAAACTTGAAATCTTTAGTGCAATAAACATTTTCTGAGATAAACCTAACTTCCAAAGAGGACTTAAAAAGTTGTCTTACAATCATTCATTATATGGAAGGTTTAGAAATCATTCCATAAAGAAAGGGTCAGACACAATCGCTGAAATTTTTTAAAATTTAATGAAGAAATACCATTGTGTAAAAGAATTTAACAACATAGTAAGTACAAAATGCCTACTAAGACTAACTTAACCACCACCAAACCCTAAAGATAATCCCAGAGGAAAAAACTGAGTGCCAATTATGTATGAACATAATAACATGGAACATTTTGACTGGAAATATTAGGAAAAGTAGTCCAGCAATACAGGAGTATATATGCTTGGATTAGTTGAGCTGCAGCAGAACAGAATGTGAATTAGGCTGGCATGGAGGTAGAGGTCTAGCTACTTGGGCGAATAAGTGAGGAAAAAGGATAAATAAAAAGGCAGCCTGGGAAAATGATTCAGACACATAATGTTCATTTAAAAAAAAAAAAAGTCCGTGGATGTATGACAGAGGCAGAATTCCCTAGGGTGCAATCCCCAAGTCCAAAAAAATATTTATTCACTGTAAGAAAAATATATTGAAATGACCACAGGAAATTGAAAGAACAAAAATCACAATTCATGAAATACAAGAAATAAGGCATTAAAAAACCCAGTATGATACAGAGGGCACCAAAAATGCAAAAGGAAAACCAAAGGGGTTTTTTGGTTTTGGTTTTTGTTGTTTTGTTTTTTTGTTTTTTGGGGGTTTTTTTGGCAAAATTGCTAATACACAAACTAAATGGAACTTGAAGCTAGGAAACGCAGACTCTCCTCAGGCCTCGCACTGTTCCAATTCTTTACCCTAAAATAGTTCCAACCCATGCAATCAAAAAAGCTATACTACATACAGTTGTTAGAAGTAAAAGTGTCATTTTTGGCTAATGTGGTAATTGTGTACATATACAATCCAGTGACACAAAACATAGTACTGTTTCATACACATTTACAAGATCTTTGAATTTATTAGTCATCCAGAAGAGTTACTGTGAATAACAGTGAGTTTCTCCAAAGGAGAAGACCTTTCTCTTCCCTTCCCTGCATGTAGACAGGGTGATCTACAACTGTTTTTCAGGGCTTCCATTTCCTGGAAAGGGGCTCAGCAGTGCACATCTGGAAAAACCCCATTCTGAAGCTGCCGGATTTCAAACCTGGAATGCTCTGCATGGACTTGCTGTTTCCCTTCTCCAAGACGTTGTGGAGACCTGTCTGCTGTTTGCACAGGTGCCTGCTGCAGCAGGGAGCTCAGGGCACCTCCGCTGCTTTCCTGCTCTGATGGAAGACTGAGCTCCTCTTGCCCTAAATAACTTGGATTCTGGAATGACCAAAAATGGCCTTGGAATGGCAACTGGCGATTCTCTTCGTAATACCAAGGCTGGGACAGCTGCTGCAGATGGCACCCCCAGTCGTTTGGCTGCTGTCCTTGAAATACCAAATACTGATCAGGGGCCTTGTGCTCTTCTTGCTGACAGCCTGTTCCCTGCCCATTGAAAGCATAATAGGAAAAATAAGGCAGAGCATATTGAGTTTCCCCTGCCTCATATCTGGTACTTTCTAAGCACTGCATAGATGCATTCGGATAAATAAATGAGTCTGGTGTGGAGGTGGAAGAAGGTCCACTTGCTGGGGCACCTTGATACTCCAGGGGACATCCTGGCTCCCTGTTAATGCCTGGGACTACAGAGTCACCTGAGTCAAAATATCCCCTGGGAATCATCTGTGTTTCCAGTGAAGGGTCGCTAGCTCTCTGTGGTACTGTCTCCTGGTCATGCAAGGAAGTCGGATTCATGGAAGAGTTGTCAGATTGTACCTGGATATTTGGGGACCCCAGGCGTTGAGACTTTTGGACACAAAATCCATTTAATTTCCAGGTGGCAAAGAGTCTCTTTTTCACCCTAGGTGGTAGTCTACATCTTCTACCTTGGAACCAATTCTCAAGAAAGAGGGAAAAAATACATTAATGTAATTTAGTTTTCTAGGAACATCTAAAGGCTTTTCTTAAATGAAGGAACATTTTGTAGCTCAGCTTAGCCTCAGCATTATTAATAACTTGCTTCCTGTCCATGAGAAGATATGACAAATGAAGGCCACCTTGCCTTTGGCTGCACTTGTTATTACGGAGCTTTTGAAATGTGTACAACTCCAAACTCTGAACTGCTTCTATGGTTTCCAGTAACCTCTTTTTTTGTGTGTACCAGGGACTGAAGTCTGGAGCTGGCAAGGTAGGCATGGTGCCCACTCAGCCAAATCCCTGGCCTCTACAGTGACCATTATTGATGTACAAATCAAGGTTCTCCAAATCTTCCCCTGACCACTCTGCAACCTATTTAGAATTTTCAGCTGTGTGTGGTGGTGCATGCATGTAATCCCAGCACTTGGTAGGCTGAGGCTGTGAGTTCGAGACCAGCCTGGGCTACATGGTGAGTTCCAGGTCAATCTCAACTGCATAGTGAGACCCTGTCTCAAAAAAAAACAAAAAAGAAAAAAAAATTTTTTTCAGCATGTAGACAGATTAGTCTCCCTGAAAGACATTCCTACACGTTTTATATTTTATTCACACTGTAGTATCATATCTTCAAAATCAATGCATCCTCAATTATAATCCGAATTTTGTCCTATTCAAACTTCATGCACAGAAGCAGCAAACTTTTCGTAACAAAGCAGAATGTTTTATGTGAACCTAACATAGGACAACTCTAATCTTTTTCTCCTCCTCCATAAAATGACAATAATCTTTCATGAAAATCATAGTCCCCCCCAATTTCTGCAGGACGTGTGCTCATGACAAAACGCTGTTGTACACCATCCATTCTAATGAACTAGGTTGGCGGTGAGGCATGTAGAGGCTTCAGCACATAGGCAAGAGCGTCTGGGGCCATTTGGACATTAGATTGTTTCTTCAGGTCCCATCTCCACATTCAGAATTCCAACTATAGCAGCCGGAAGGCTCCTTACACACACTCATCATCGCCTAATATAAAACTGGCAGATCCCTAATGAATGTGACACCTTCAAACATGTTCACCTTTGCACCTCACAAAACAGGTGTGCACAGCAGAGCGAGATCCAGAGTGAAGCTTTTCTCAGAGGTTACAGAACTGACCTGCAGGGAGATTTCGTAGGATGCCACCAAGAGACAGGCACCACTTTCTGTTGTCCCAGCCTCTGGGACCCTGTCCCCATCCGTGCCAGCTTCTGGATCACACCATGGCTCTTCACCAGGAATGTGAGCGTCGTTTTAATCCTAACCTGCCTTCCACATATTCCCTTACTCAGATGGTCTTTGATTTGTAAAATTATTGATTTGTGTGTCCATTTAAAATTTTCCACTTCGTGAATTTTATATTAGAAGTGAATTGTTTATAGAAAACTTGCCTACATATTTCTTTTATTCTCCAAGGATATTTTTATATTCCCTTTCTTATTTTCACTGAGGAAACTTCTCGCTCTTGCCATGCAACCACTATACTCAATGATCCAGAGATAGTGACAGAATAAAAACACATGGAAAGCTGAAAAATGCATATAAAATAGTACTTCAGGTGTGAAATGGTGGGGATGCAACCAAAGTCCTCCTCTATGCAGGGATGCGATCTACCTCTCAGCCACATCCCCAGCCCTGACTCATACAATTAACACATGGAACAGTTTTGTGCAGCTTTAATGATGGTTTGCAAAAAGGACTTTGTCATGAGTTGCCCCTTCAAAACATAGCTTTGTGCCACACAAGGTTCTGAAGTTCGTAGAGTAGTGGGAGGTGACAATGCATGGACAAGAGCCAGCCTGGTCCTTCCTTCTGCTCTTGATTCTGTTATATGTAACCATTCATCTACTGTTACCTGTTAGCGGTTTCATTGGCAAACCCAATGTCAATGTCCAACCTGAAACTCCCAGTGTCTCTAGTGCACAGCTGCGACTCCTCCAAGCCTCCTTTTGTGACTTATACATAAGTCCAGTATTCCACTGGCTTAAGCCAAAACGTGGAACCCTTTCTTTAGTGTCTTCTCCCACTACATAGCCAATACCTCAGCACACTGTCAGCTCTACACTGAAAATACAGAAAGTCTCCCAATGCTGAGAACTTTCAGAGCCAGCTCCCTGGTGTGAAACTTTGCAGTCTCCATCCTGGAAAATCATGAACACTGCTAAACTGGCCTATGTTTGAGAGCTTCTCTTAGAAAAGATTTTTTTTTTCATAAAATACGTATATAACGTATACATACCTATCTGTACTCAATTGTATAAAAATGACTTTTAACTCCGTTACTTGGAATAGCATTCTACAAAACACTGTCATAATTCCTTCCACTTTCCCCATTATCTACAAAAATATATATCCATGCACGACTTTGAATATTGCACTTACCTGAATGACATACAAACGGCAGCGCAGTTGCTTGGCAAGTTCTTCTTTGGTTGAGAAAGTAGGGTAAGGGTTCTGTTCAAATGATTGTTTCAAAATCTGTAATTCCTCCTGTGTAAATCTGTGTGGAGGTCTTCTTTTCTGTCTTCTGTGTTGTCTTTCTGGTGCTTCATTGTGATCATCTTTTTTACCTGAAGATTATGAAAAATGTGTAAACACAAAGAAAGGTATGGCAGGTAGCATTCAAAAAGATCATTTCTGGAGCAATGATTCAGAAATTAAGGCTTATCAGACTGTTGCCTCATACTTATTAATAGTGATTGTTACTGATAAAGTAAAGGCCTATTTTAAGATAATAAAGATGAAACGAGATTTTTTTGGAAGTGAGATTACTATAGCAGGTGTGGTAGCACTGGCCTGCACTTCTAACACACTCTCTCTCTCTCTCTCTCTCTCTCTCTCTCTCTCTCTCTCTC